GCTTTGCAACCGCTGAAGCGATTTTTCGGCCGAGCTCCTCGTACAATTTGTGGTTCTACGTCTTGATTTTTCCCCAAAAAATGGAGGGACCTACAGTTTATACTAAGCCGCCTCGGAACGCCTGATGTTTTTTTTTATGAGGACCCTTTATTTCTTGTCCGATATACACTCGAAGGGGTGGATATTCCCTGCTGAGGGGCGACCGCAATAAGAAAATTTAACTTAATTTTTATTTAGTTAATTTTGCATAACTTTTGGATGTTGCTGGCACCGGGGCTTGAACCCGAGCCTTCCGAATGTAAGTACGCAAAGCTAACCCCTTGGCTACTGCGGCCGCCAAAATGTGCCAAAAATACCAATCCAAAATATGGGAAACTGATGATCATCATGACCAAGTTGTAGTGTTCTAGCTAAAGACTGGTCTCATTCTCTACAGGGTATGTGTGTTATATATATATGTGTTTGTATTTTTCACTACCCTGCTGCCCTCGAGTGGCAATGGCATTTGCAGTTAGCGCTGGTGGTCACTGATTAAAAACGGAAGCCGGCAATATTGTCATAGCTGGCAACTCGTGCCTCAATACTACATACATACATACATACATACATACATATATATATACATATGTACATATATATATATATTTCAATAGATCACTCGGAAACCACGCGCAGCTGAAGTGTATCTTCCCTCGCTACACAATTCCTTATTCATCCGTGGCTGTGTGGGTGTAAACGGTCAGTAATCTTCGTAATCTTCGTGTTGTTGACCTAATTCAATCAGCGAATATCAAATCGAAATAAACGAAACCCACAACTTGCTTTTGTTGAATTTTTCATTTGTGACTTTTCCACACACAATGGAGTGAAACTTTTACAACTTTAACAACAATCGACGCTCGACCAGCTACGAGCAGTGGCAGCATAATAAAATAGTGCAAAGAAAGCACTGCTCACTGCCATCATTAATCTAACTTTTAAAGTTAAAACTTTTCTTATCGAATTCGCTGTTTGTATGTATAGATAAAACTTAGAACTTCGACTTCCAAAGAACAACTCCTTCCAAAACGAAATGAAATAGAAAACTAAAAAAAAAAAAGTTGAAATATCCGTGTCGTGCATGCCATCGCATGTTACATAGCTTCAGAGCTTACACCGTTTCCACCGTTTCACCAACAGCGCTTTTGTTGCGTCGTTTGCGTTGTCAAGGAGCTCTACTGGCTGCCCTATATTTTAGCCGCACAAGGAGCAATCGAGTGTTATGTTTGCGCCGCGTATTTCAACATGTCATTCGTCTCTTGCACCGAATGCCGGTCTGTACGCAAACTGAATCGGACACAAACTATTTGTCACCGTTACAATTTAGATAGTATACGAGGTGTGACAATTAAGTAATGAGACTGATTACATTGCCGCGATTGTGGTAACCCTGCGACCTTGAACCCTTCCATTTCTCTTCTTCCTGCCTTCCTTCTCCTCTCCATTGATATATTTACCATCGCTCTAGCTTGTTTAGTTCGCCTGCTGTGTCGTGTTGAGTAAACGTGTGTTCGTGGGGCTCGTCACGAAAGTGGAAAAACGAAATCAAGAGCAACGCGACGCGATAAAATTTTACGTCAAATTGAGCGAAGTAGCTACGGAAACGTACGCCGCTTAGGCACAGGTTTGATCAGTCTAAGTAGCCGAGGTTACGCTAAAATTGTAAAAGTGCATGGTGATAGTGCTCTTAGTCGTGCAAACGATGATTATTGCATTTTTTTTTGACAGTCGTGGAATCGTCCACAAAGAACTTCATCCCCCGGGGCAAACGCCAAGTACTCGAAAAATTGCGAAAACGAGTCAACAGCGTGCGCTCCTTCATCACGTCGACAACGCGCCTTGCCACACCGACCTCAGCGTTTCCCAGTGGCCACTAAAGGGATCGCCGTGTTGTAACAACCGCCTTATTCGCCCAATATGTCAGCCTGTGACTTTTGTTTCCGAGAATAAAATCGGTGGTTAAAGGAACGTGACGAGGGTACTCGCGGGCATCCCAGTCAAAGCGTTCCAGAAATGTTACGAAGCATGGAAGACGCGCTGGAATCATTGTACAGCTGGCCAAGGGGACTATTTTGTAGAGGGGATGGCGGAGTTGTAGAATAATTTTGAAATAAACAGTTTTTATGAAATCAGTCTCATTACTTAATTGTCACACCTCGTAAATTCGAACTTCTCAAGCTTCATTTCATACATGCAAAGGATATTTACTCGGCCACGTGTGCAATTCATACCTTCATACTGCGAGCTGCTCCAAGTGTGTTATGTAATTTCAAACATTCAACATGCATGTTCTCTCAATTTTTTATATTTATTTTTATCTCCCTACCCCTGCTGCTGGTATTAGGAAGCGCACAAGCCGACATGGCGTTTACCCATTTGCTTTGTTTCTATGTTAAAACGGCGCGTTATCGAATTGCGTTGAGTCAGCCCACTGTGAGTGTGCGGTTTTCGTGCGTTCCTTTACACGCCAATTAGCTTGCAGGCGTACAGAAGTTGGTCGGAAAATCCAACTCATAAAACACGCAAAACATTGAAGAATCGATTTACCATTGTTAGAATTATCTGATTTATGTCAAATCTGCCACGTTTTCCTCGATAACTTTTTACCACTTTAAAGGTATTGTCATTAAACCCTCTCATAGAAACCCTTGCCTCTGTTGGTAAAATAAAATTGCTAGAATAGATTTTCGCAGGCTTCTCTTGAGTCCAATTCTAGATCATACGTGATAGATAGAAACAGTTGGTAATCACATGGTGCGAGCTCGGAACTATGAAGTGGAAGCTCCCAAGCTCTGGGAGTTTCTGGCGAGTCACTATTGATGCGTGTGGTCTTTCGTTGTCTGGTGATGAAACACAATTCCACTCCTGTTGGTCAAAGTATAGCTTCTGTGCTTCTGTGCTATTGATTCCTTCAGACAGTCCAATCGGTGGCAGCACCGGTTCGATTTAAGAATTTGGCCGTAGGTGAGCAGGTCAAAAGGATGATTCCCTACCAATTTTTAAGTTTTTTTATTCAGTGTTTGACTTAATAAAATCGTTTTCCTTTGAGGTTGCTGTAAGCGATCCATCAGCCGCTTAAAAATTTGGTCTATTTTGTTACGATTCAGCAATGATTTGCTCCTTGGCAATCGAAACAGTGCTCGCATGACAGTCAGACTCGAAGATTTTCATTAATTTATGGACCTTTTCATAAATCCTTAACATAACTTGTATGGGTTGCCAAAGGTTCACCATTCATGTGATTAGTCACGAGTCAACACTAGCGGGTCAATCGTTTTTTCTTTCACTGTTTACTCATATTTGGAGACACCAAGTGGAGTCAGATCCTTTCAATAGCGTAGGTGTCTTCGTCTGTTTCACCGGTGGCTACTGCGTCGAAACTTTCAAAGATGAAATGTTGTCGCAAGTCAGCAAGCGGCTGTCTCTTAATTCGCTGAGCTACTTCAATCTCACTGGCCGGGGTCCGTTCCAATGCGCTAAGGTCGATAACTTTTCCGCAAAATCTTTATCTCGAAAACTCCCAGCGGTTTTTCTTCAGATATTGTCACGATCCTGCTTCTGTGCCATGCAGCAGGGCGGGCATGATAAACGACTTATAGAGTTAGGTTTTTGTTCGTCGAGAGAGGATTTCACTTTTCAATTGTCTGCTCAGCTCCCCGTAGAGTGATTCTTCGTTGGATTTCAAGGCTGGCATTGTTTTTAGTGTTAATGCCACTACTTCGTCGTGGAGATGAAGACGTGAATATATTGACTCTTTGTTTAGCCGACAAGGGGAATATCGCCCTGCCCTGATTCACTTTCAGACCTATCAATTCAACTTTCTTATTCAGTCTGGAGTAAGCAAAACCAACGGCGTAGTTGTTGAGGTCTATTACGTCCTTATTATCGGCGTACGCCCAGAGTTGTAAACTCTTGAATGAAATTGTGTTCGTCTACTTTATGCAACTTTTATTATTTCCTCCAGCGTTGGGTTGAATGTATCACCAGATAGAGAGTCATGTCAAAACCTCTTATAGTACCAAAAGGCTCGAAGCGCGTTTTCGGGATTCTAACAGAGCGCTACAATTAAGTGCCTCTTGGCCATGTCACTGGCCGTTGTCGCCGCCCTACATGTTAAGTGGCTTTCTTGATCGCGCTTAACGCTTGACCTTGCTACAATCTCCTCCGACAGTTTCCTCTCCCTTCGACCGGTTGGGCTTGCTGCAAAGTTTCATGGGCCTTGGACCTTTCCTTTATAGATGACTTTTCTTTCTTACTTACCTTTACTGCCGAGCCAACACCTTAAACATTTCCTGGAGAGCGTAACAAAGCTTCGTCTTCAATCGTGTTAATGCTTTCAACGTTTTCGAGGCTCGAGTCTTCGTGGACTGTGACACCCCTTCGTTGCAATCCAGTTCTAGTGAGGCCGCTGGCGATGCAGCAAGTAGACTCACTGTGCCTGCCGATGATAGGAGCCACTTCTTCCACCAAAGTTTGGGCTGAGTTGAGTTGAGTTCCATTTTCCGGGAACCCTTACCCCTATCGTTTAATAACTACCGCTAGGTATTGCGTTAGCATTAGCCGAAGTAGTCATACAACCTCCTCCAAAAATGTCTTATGCAATACAAGTCACCAGGAAGAGAAGGACGGATATATAACCCTGCCTTAGCTAGACTGCGATTTGTGGTTTATTCTATCGACTACCGAGGGCCGATAATTAACAAAAACAATGTTTGCCGTTGATATGAATGTTATGATTCGCAGTCATGACTCTCCGCATGTTAGCACGTAACTCTAACCAAAGGCTTTGAAATCACGTTTCTTCGCTAACCCCGCAAATATGGCGACCATATTTAGGCTCCGTTTTTCTATTAATAAAAGAAAAATTAAAGAATTCTAAGAAATTTATGTTTTTAACCATTATTCGTTTAAAACATTTCGAAGAATGTACTACATCTTCCTTCTTGTTTTTTTTCTTTCAGCTTCTCGATATGTTAAAATTTTACACTCGCTTCGAAATAAGTGATGTCACCGGCGACTCACTTACCGATCACCAGATGACTCAGCTGCATTATAAGAAAATCACTTCACTACAACGAGCTGCATTTGCCAAGTTTCCCGATTTACGTCTATTCGCTTTATCAAACGTCGCCAGTGTGGACACACGCGAATCGCTGCAACGTCATTTTGGCGCGCTCAATGCAACGGCGCTAAAGGAAATCGCATCCTTCTTGAATTTAGTGCCCGAATCGTTGGAAACACCATTTCAGTGGCATCGACTGGACGATGAATTCCTCAAGGAGTTATTGATAACACGACACGAGCGTCGCTGTTCGCAACTGGAGGCACTCAATGAGATGCCACTCTATCCTACAGAGGATATTATATGGGATGAAAATATTGTGCCCTCTGAATATTTTTCCGGTGATGGTTGTTTGGCTTTGCCAAAGTTGAATCTACAATTTCTTACCTTACACGATTATTTGTTGCGTAACTTTAATCTCTTTCGCTTGGAATCGACGTACGAGATACGGCAGGATATCGAGGACGCTGTGAGTCGCATGTTACCCTGGCAATCGGAAGATGGTGATGTTGTGTTTGGCGGTTGGGCGCGCATGGCGCTACCGATTGCCTCATTCGCTGTGGTTGAGGTGACAAAGCCGCACATCGGCGAACGTAAACCGTCGCGTGTACGCGCAGATGTCTCGGTGACATTGTCCGTACGTAAAGAGATCAAAGAGGAGTGGGAGAATTTGCGTAAACATGATGTGTGCTTTTTAATAACCGTGAAACCGACAAAACCCTATGGTGAGTGGAAATGATAAATGAGCAAATTTAAACATTTTCTTTTAATAATTTCTGCTTTATTTTTTAAAGGCACCAAATACAATCCACGTGAGCCATTCATACCACAAACCGGTCTGGTGTATGTGCGCGGCTGTGAAGTGGAAGGTATGTTAGACGTCAATGGACGTGTAATTGAAGATGGCCCTGAACCCAGACCGCATTTGCCCGGGGAACAGCGTACCTACCGGGTTTGGTTGGACTCGAATCAATATCGCTTGGATATGGACAGCTTGCAAGATGTATGTTGTAGTAAAAGAAGTCTCATTTATATTGATCATTAACAAATGAATTATTACACATTTTTACAGGGTTCCGATGATGTCTATGAAAGTTTTAATATCATTATGCGTCGCAAGCCAAAAGAAAATAACTTCAAAGCCGTTTTAGAGACAATAAGACATTTAATGAATACAGAATGTGTTGTGCCGCCCTGGTTACACGATTTGTTGCTCGGCTACGGAGACCCTGGTGCAGCGCATTACTCGAATATGCCAAATGTGGAACGGAGTCTGGATTTCAATGACACATTCTTGGATTTCGATCACCTAAAGAACAGTTTTCCGGGTTATGAAATAAAATGTGATGATCCGGATGAAAAGCGTGTACCGCCATTTCGTTTAGTATTTGAAGATGTGCCAGAAGAGCGCTCTGATGAGGTGGCCGAAGAACAGAAGGATGCGGAAATGAAGTCTGCACTGGAAAAGGCTATCATCGTGAAGCCATATGTTTATGAAAGTCGTGGACCATACGTGGCAAACAAGCCGAAGCAGTAAGTATCGCTGGCATAGTGGAATAACAAATAACAGTATATTTTTAATATTCAATGTGGGAAATGAGAGGCTTAAGTTGAGGGTATAGAAAGATTGTTGGAAACACTGCTTTTAAGTCTTGCGAACGCAATTGATATGGACTTATCGATAAGCATGTTAATAATAACCAGCGGAAACAGTTAGTTACTCTTACCAAAAACTTGGCTTGGGCACAGCACACCTGTTAATAGAATCTGAGAAGAAGACTGAAATAACTGGACGCGATTCATCCAGAGTAAAATTACATTGGACGCATCAACTCCTTGTGCCATATGGATTTCCTAAAGGAATTGTAGCTTGACGACGATATTTTATGTACATGGAGGGCAAAATAGACCAAATGTCGCAGTGTAGATCCCCTTTTCAATCTATCTATCTTATAGTTTCTTATATATACCAATACTATCGGTAGCGTACCGGCTTCCGAGTCAGCTATACTCAGGATACTTTATGTCAGTAAAACTTTTATTATATTCATAAACACGCATTACTCATTGGGAGTTAAGTATAGGGAAGAGTAAGCAGATTTGTAGTGTATAACAGTTGTTCGTTAATGTTGTGAATTGTTGTTGTTGTAGCGATCTGATTCAAACAGAAGGAAAGAGGGGTAAGATGAGTTGGCTTTAGAGGCATGTAAAGAGGTTGTGGGTGTCGTGCGGATATTCTCTACATGCAGGGCATACGTCGGGTATGTCGGGTCGGGTGCAAGTCTAGATAAGTAGGTATTAAGGCGGAAAATAATCAGATGTTAATTGTGCCAGTTTTACTGGGGTCCCTCGACGATTTTGGGAACTTAATTCACTGGAAGAGCGTTGTTGTTGTTCTAGCGGTTCATTAGCCCCGCTTAGGGACAGGCTTAATCAATCTAAGTTGCACGTCATCTAGTGGAAGGTCCAGTAAACGTGCTGTTTCGACGGGATTAGACCAGAGGGAAAGGGGAATTAGATATGTCGGCTTAAGGGGGCATGGGGAGAGGTGGTTAGTGTCGTGCGGAGGCTCTGCACATGCAGAACATACGTCGAGTCTGGATAGGTAGGAGTTAAACCAGCTACAGTATCCAGACGTAAGTTGTGCCAGGGTTACGTGGGTCTCTCGAGGCAGCTCGACCTTGTTGCCTGCAATGGGTGGTGCTTTTTCTCCGATCATGACATTCACGGAAAGGGAGTCTTTGAAGGTGTTGACTGACTCTTAAGACAACCGTACGTACGCACCGGAAACGACCCGGATTTTATCCGGCCAAGGGCTGCCACCCTTTCGGCTATCTAACCCCGTTTAGGTCAATAGGTAATCTCTCAAACTCTCACGACTGTCGACTTATCGCCCCGCAGTTGATTCGTATTTTATCCAGCCCTCATTTTATCAGCTTTAGCTCATCAGGTAATTCTAGTTGCTCCTTACTAATGGTCAAGAAGAGATGTCGCACTGAAGTTTTCCATCTTGAACACGTTTATGTTATATTTATTGTGTTTTTTTTCTTTTGCCCTTCAGAAACTCTGTCCGCTTCACGCCCACACAACTGGAAGCCATTCGCGCTGGCATGCAACCCGGTCTGACATTGGTTGTGGGTCCACCGGGTACTGGTAAAACGGATGTTGCAGTACAAATAATTTCCAATCTCTATCACAATCATCCCAACCAGCGTACATTGATTGTGACACACTCCAATCAGGCGCTCAATCAACTCTTCGAAAAAATTATGGCCTTAGATATTGACGAACGTCATCTGTTACGTCTCGGTCACGGTGAGGAGGCGCTAGAGACAGAAAAGGACTTCAGTCGTTATGGTCGTGTCAACTATGTGCTAACGCAGCGTTTACAGTTGCTTAAAAAAGTACAAAAACTCCAAGAATCGCTCAATGTGCTCGGCGATAACGCATACACTTGCGAAACGGCCGGATATTTTTATCTTTACAATGTGGTAGCGCGTTGGGAAAAGTTTCTCACACAGGCTGCTGTTGTCGCTGATGCAACCGATCCGGCCACTTGGCGCACAGTGTTCGAGAGAGAATTCCCCTTCACACGTTTTTTCGCCGACGCTCTACAACCGCTCTTCAAGGGAGAGACCTACGATGAATATATGGAAATTGCCAAATCCTGTTTCCGTTATATAACGCATATATTTACAGAGTTGGAGGAGTTCCGCGCCTTCGAATTACTGCGCACCGGTTTGGATCGCTCAAAATATCTGCTTGTGAAGGAGGCAAAAATTATTGCCATGACTTGTACACACGCCGCATTGAAACGCAAAGAACTGGTCAATTTGGGCTTCCGTTACGATAATATACTAATGGAGGAGTCAGCACAAATATTGGAAATTGAAACATTCATACCGCTGTTGCTACAAGATCCACTCGATGGCTATAATCGCTTGAAGCGTTGGATTATGATCGGAGATCATCATCAATTGCCGCCTGTCATCAAAAATATGGCATTCCAAAAGTACTCGAATATGGAGCAAAGCTTATTCACACGACTGGTGCGTTTAGGTGTGCCCACTGTCGATTTGGATGGCCAAGGTCGTGCGAGGTCTAGGTGTGTGGAAAAACAGCATGTTTTAAACAATTTTATTTGTAATTTTATAATTTGTTCTTCAATTTTCCCTAGCATATGCTCATTGTACAAGTGGCGTTATAAGAAATTAGATGATCTGACGCATATTTTGGAACGAAACGAGTACCGAAATGCAAATGCTGGATTTGTACATGACTATCAACTCATCAATGTCGAAGATTTCAATGGTGTAGGAGAGACGGAACCAAATCCATTCTTCTATCAGGCAAGTTAATTATTTTTTTTTGAATTTTTTACCTTATTAAGTCATTATTGAAATCTTTTTGCTTGTTAATAATGTACTCATGGTCAAACACATATATGTATATCATGATTCAATAATTAAAAATTTGATAAGTAGACAGCTTTCTCGCTCCCTCTTGACAAAAAGGACCCCTTAATGAAAAACCGTAATGCTTCTTTGTAAAAAAAAAGCATTTTTTCTGGAACAAATTTTTAAAATATATCTAGCTAAATACTTAATTTTTTTTTTGGAGAAATACTTTGGTAGACATCACATACTCGTTTCCAATTGGTTGATTCAATATTTTTACAACCATTTAATTATTTAAAATTTCTTATTGTGGAATATACGAATCGTACACACGTTAAAGTTGGTAGTTAATTAGATCTGTTTGATTAGTTCTGCCGGTGGGCTGTAAACTCCAGCCGCTTTATCGTTCTTTTTAGCGCGTAATTGCCATTCGAACCTCCACATAATCGGGTAGTGTAACGACTTTCCCATCGTCATCGATTGGGTCTCATTTTAACTACCATTCAACGGGCTGTAGAACTGTTTCCTCCATAGATTCAGTATACTCTGGGCATCCTTCATTAGCTCACCTCTCTGGGTCCTGAAAGAGTTTTCTCCAAATAACCTGTCGGCTAGCTACTCAAGCTTTTTGTACTCACGAATTCCGGTAACCAATTTTTTTTCCTCGGTTTGCTCTTCTGCTCTCGGTATCTATCCTGCCCTGCAGATGTTGTGGTATACCACATCCTACCAGCTGTTTTTGATAACCAATCGTTTCGTTTGCAGTACGTACAGCTGCAAGCTTGAAATTCCGTACTACAGTTTTGTTTTACCGACTTGTTGACCAGTGGTCTCTGAGAGCAGGAGTGCAAGTCGAATAGAAGATTGTACCTTTTGTCCATCTTATTTCTTGGACGGCGATGATGTCAGCCTTTAGTTTAGCGAGGACATCAACCAGTTGAGTAGCGACTTAAATTACTCAAATAATTTTTTTTTTTTCTATATATGCGAATTGTTCTACTTTAACCAATTAAAATTAATTTTACTGTTTATATTTAGATTTAGAAAATACTCGCATAGATATTTTATTTTAGTTTCGAAGGTATTAAATTCGTTTTTAAAATGAATGAAATACCATGTAAAATACCTACTATTTTCGATTAATCTTATACATATATATTCTGTGCATTAATCAACCATTTTTTTCATTCTTTATTAAATTCTAGAATCTTGCGGAAGCTGAGTACGTAGTAGCCGTTTATATGTACATGCGTCTGCTAGGCTACCCTGCCGAAAAGATATCCATATTGACCACCTACAACGGGCAAAAGCATTTAATACGAGATGTCATCGATGTACGTTGTGGAAATAATCCCCTAATCGGATGGCCACATAAAGTCACCACGGTGGACAAATATCAAGGTCAACAAAATGATTATATACTCATTTCGCTGGTTCGAACAAAAGCCGTGGGCCATTTGCGCGATGTACGTCGTTTGGTTGTGGCAATGAGTCGTGCACGACTTGGTCTGTATATTTTTGGGCGTGTAGCGTTGTTCAAAAACTGCTTCGAGTTGCAACAAACATTCAAATTGGTGAGTGTGTTGAGATATCCAAGACAAATTATAGTTCTAACAAAACAAAAAATTGTATTCTAAACTAGCTAACACAACGTCCGCAGCGCTTACAATTATTGACGGAGGAAACATATCCCATAGATCGTCTAACCAATGAAAATGTTGACGAGCAACGCATTTGCGTAGTGAATAATATGACACAAATGGCTGAAAAAGTTTTCGAAATGTATATGAAGCGTATGGAGGAGTTGAAGGATAAACTGCCTGCTGAGAGTGATCTACAAATGTACGCACATATACCGCAAGAGGACGAAGATGAAAATGAAGCTGAGCCATCGGCTGATGAAGCCGTTGGAAACGCAAATCAAACCGTCGATAGCAGTGAACCGCCTGCTAAACGCGTCGCAAAGGAAAATAAGAAGGCATCGAAAGAAGCTGCTAAGTTTATACCTACACCTATAGTGAATGAAATAAATGCGGAGGATGAACAAGAGCCGGATAGGGAAGAGCAAACCGATACTGCTGTGGGTGCGGCGCAAGCAGTTGAGGAAGCAGCTACCGAAACTGAAGTAGCTGCTGATCCACCAGCGACAGATTAGCGGTGCCCCGTTTAAAATATTATGAAAAGGTTTTACTATGAAAGTTCTACTACAAAATGCTTTTAATATAAAAAAAAACATTTTATTACACAAAAATACATAAAAAAGATAATTGCACAAAATTTCTTGCTACATTGCACGGGTATAAAATTATGAAAGTATTACGTAGTTCACTTCTTTGGCGCGGTAATACCTTCCAGCTGAGCCTTGAGTTGTGTATTGGTCTTCTTGAGGAATGCCACTTCTTCTGCGTATTTCTTCTCTTCAGACGCACGTAATTCAGCATTCCGACGTTCTGTTTGCTCTTGTTTGATCTTCATATCATTTATTATATCCTCAAGTGTTTCCTTTTCTAATTCCAAGTTTTTAACACGGTCTCGTAGCATTTCTTTCTCTTCATGTGCTTGTAAGGCTTTACGCATGCCAAATGCCACCGAACTGCAGTAAAGTGTTTCGTATGCTTCCATAGACATGCTGATTTCATCGCGTATACGCAACAATAGTAGACCACGCTCGGAGCAATTGATGGTCACCTGTCGTATGATTTCATCTTAAAGAAAAAAAAAAACAATATTGTATTTATGCCAATTTTAGAATCAACTGCGAAGATTTTAGCATACCGAAGCACTGCGAATATAATTCTCTGCGTATGGGGCATATGCCAGTTTCACGAGCCTGAGTTTGCTGAAGTCTGGTATCGAGCATCTCTTGCAGATTGATCACATCCTGACGTGTAGCTGGCGTGCTTGATACCTAGTGAAAATATATTAAACTAACCATTTTACATGTGTTGTTGTTATAACCACAAAAATATTCCTCAAAGTAATTTTGTAAAAAAAAGTTTTTGTGAACATAAATTTAAGGCCCGCTTACCGTTTGTTGCCACAACTGACCATCCTCTTCCCAACATCGCGGTGGTAATATCGAATTCAATATTTCCTCTGTTTCGCGCTTGGTATCCAGCAAGGCGCCAGCTGTTAGAGGCCGTTTTAGTTCCTTTAATTATCATTATTAATTGATAAACATAATTCAAAATCAATGCGTTTAAAATTACAATATCTGTAGGCGTTCCCTTTTTATCTGGATGTTTAACTACCAACACCGGGTTATTATAACGCACAAGCGTTTGATACTGATCAACTGTTGCGGCATCCTCCTCATCCATTTTGGCGTGTTAGTGAGTTTATTATAATTGATAATTCAGTTTTTTTTGTATTTTAGAAATTTTTTCATAGGTATTTTTGATTTGTTCTCTTATTCGACGTTTTATCAGCAGCTTTTTTATTTTTGTTGTTATTTTGTTTATAGCAACCGGAAAGGGAAGAATCATGTAATTTGAAAATGCCTCAAGACATTCACTGTTGTTGGTTTCCAAATTACGGTATCAGTTCAAATAAATTCCTATGCGTAGAAAAACGCAGTCACTCTGTGCCGACTGCACAGGGTGCTAAGAATAATAAAAAGCAAAAATGTTGGACAAGAGAATGATATTTTATATTCTCTGATTGGATTATATAATTTTAATTAATTAATTATTTTTTTAAGTATAACCTTAAGACTAATTAAAATACTCGTAAGTTTCTTCGAAATCATATTCTAGGGTGGTGTCCTTTCACAGCCATTATATAATTTTATATTCCGCACGTCCTCAACCTATATAGTTTGTTAGGTAGGTTATAGATAATCTTTGCTTAAAGTTAAACTATTGTCTCTCCGATCTTTCTTACTTCTTCCCTGCACTACTTTTACATTTATCACAAGCCAAATCTGTTGCGACATCCTTGGAGCTCTACCTGCTTGAGCTGGATTCAAGTTGCTGACACTGGCATTCGACAGTCTGCACTCCTTGTCCGCAAAGAGTATAGATCCGCAACTGTACTTAGCAAAAACACAAAGAAACCTTGCTTACAACGTACAACACCATTAGCCGGCCTGCCGCGGTTGAGCAAGAACTAGCTGAAAAAAAGTTTGTTAGAACACCACCTTGTAATATTATGCTGCTTCACAGGCATCCCTTAAACGCTATTTATTAGGGTTCCGTCATTATTTTCATATTTTCACTTCCTGAACAAAATACTGTCCTAACTAAAATTAAAGTCCTATTTTTTCAGCCTCGACCACGTTAAATATGATAGTTATCAAAATATTTATTTAATTAACAAATGAAAATATTGAAAAAAAACCACATTGAGTTAAAAATGAATAGAAAAAAATTATTGTGTAGAAAATGTTTATTGTGTCATGTCAATACCGTTTAAATTTTGCTGTCAAAGCTGCAATGTCAGGCAAAGCGAAAAAGTTCAATTTGCCATCTTAAGTTGCGTTTGTACGTTTTTCAAAAAAAATCCATTATTGATGCGATCTGGCATTTTGTTTTCAAGAGCAGCCGGCGGCAGAAGGTAATTAGAAAACTTACCGCCGTTTCGATAGTAAACAAACAGTAGTAAAAATATTTTGTATTCGGGTCAGTTGAATTAAGCAAGCAAAATATAATGGCATTTTATAATGAAAATCTTGGTGTAAGTACTATGAATATTATTTCATCAAATAAATATGTCGATAAACTTTGTTTTAACCTCAATTTGGTGTCCTAAAGAATCGTATAATGGAGCTCCTCAACTATCCTATACCGGATCGTTGTGTGGAATTGACACAATTGTTTGAACGTTGCAGTCTACGCGAATTACAGGATATATTTCCCACAATTGTGCAGTCAGTGTTTGGTATTGGAAGTGGCGGCCTCGGTTGGGGCTTGCGAGCTACTACAAAAGAAAATTCCCCTCTATGTTTTGATGTGCTACATGAATTCTTTTCGCCTATGGGGTCAATGTTGCGGTTATGCTATCGATTATTAAACGAAGCAATTAAGTTTGAGTTTAGTTTAGATATGCTGCCGGTAAATTGTTTTCTAAAAATAAGCATTTTTTTAACGATGCTAATCAGATTTCTTTTGTTTACAGCATAAAGTCAGCGAACTGATGCAGTCCGGACAATACTCATTATTTTACGCCGATTTGGTAAACATTGATCCTTTTCGCCGTCAAGTAACATCCCTCTTGTTGAACGCTTTCGATTATTACATGTTGCATTATGTTATACATGCTACATTCCCACTGCATAAAATGTTTCCAGCCGCTTTGCAAGTACATAATGAGCGCATGAAAACGGTTTACTTTTTCCTAACAGCAGAATATCTATGCACTTTTCTGCCGGGCAATCCAGATGCGATTGTATTTCCGATAAATATTTGTGCGTCGGTAAAGGCACCACAACCGTTGCAGCCAGTTCAACCGCTGCAGCCGCAACGTTCGCCTAAATACTTAAAAATACCTACAAATACTAGTTTGTTTCCGACAGATGGACCATCAACATCAGCTGCAGCTGCAGCGGCTGTACAGGCCGCACGTAGTTGTGAGTCGCCGCGCACGCATTGCTGGCGTACGGAATCTGTGCTGCACTTCTTTGTCGATACATGGCTGCGATATGATATCGATGAAGCACGGGTGAGTAATTGGTAATTCGAAATCATATGCACATTAATCGAAATTCTACGTCACTTAGGATCTTCCAAGTAGCGAATTTATACGTGTGGTACGCATATTGGTTAAGCAAGTACATACATTTGCCAATTCAGTTCATATGGATCACACACCTATGGCGATGTTACGTAAATTAGCTCATCCAATGATGAAAACGCGCATTTATCCGTTCCTAAAAAGTATTATAGGACGATGGCCACTGGACAGTTCACTTTCAGTAGTGCTCGAGTTATGGCTCAGTTACATACAACCTTGGCGTTATTTATTCGAGGGACAAAACTCAAATTGCTAGTAAGAAATATAAAATATACATTTCGTTGTGGCTTTACATTTAAATATAATAAAATTCATATATTTTTGCAGTGATACCGGTAGAGTAAATGCTGCTAATGTAGTCAACCCCGGAGCTATGGTTAATGAAATGACTGTAAGCCAACGCTTTACCACATTCATAGCGGAGAATTTGGTCATATATACGCAAATATTTGTATATCTTTTGCCACGTTTCGAACGATTGGATTTCACTTCTTTTAGAAATGTTATTATGCTACATCGATTAGTAAAGGTGAGCCAAATGAAGAGTAAAGCAGTATTCAGGGTATTTGAAATAAGAATACGCACCCATATTTGTGTATATTTACAAAAAGCTTTTAGTGAGCGCCTCTGTTGTTCAAGATATCAAATAAAAATTTATTTATTTCCACAACAAACTCTTAATTTATTATCAATTTCAGGTTTTTAGTCAAGCCAATCTGCCTACAATGCTTTGCCAAGCCGAAAAAGCTTACATTTGTCAACTTGGAATTGACTCACCGAGAAAACATTCAATGTATGCCAGGTGATTATTTTGATTATATAAAATACATACATATAATTAGCCCCTGCGGGTTAGGGGCTCAAGAATTTACCCGCGGTAAGGCATGCCTGTCGTAAGAGGCGACTAAAATCCAATAGCTCCTGCGACAGTCGGGTCTTTATAACGGAACGCCCCGGATTTTTATCCGGCCAAGGACTGTTACTGCCGCAACATACCCCATAAAGTACTTTGGGGAATAATTTTGCGGTTACAAAAACAACAACAACAACAACACCTTTATTTTGAGAAAACTTTCCAGTACAGCTTCCAATAATCAACTCTTTTTTTTTGCGGCTTTCAGGCAAGGCAAAACAGACTGGGATGGCTCGTTTCACGAGGAAAACTACACTCCATTATTTGGTCCAGCTGTAAAATGTGAAATTGAACAAGTAATTAAAACTATATGTATTTCACGTTTGTATGTATTACAAGAAATTGATAGTATACGGAATGATATAGTGGAACAACGTAAAGCGCACAGTTTTTTCCGCAAATTATTTGCAAGCATTTTCGTAGATGTCTCGCCGGCTGAGTTGAAATTGCAAGAGATTGGAAAAATACCTGATATACTCGATTTAGCTGTACGCTCACTGTCTATAATGTTTGACGTAAGTCCGTAACGGTATTTGTTTAAATGAAGTCATATAAAAAAGAAACAATTTTCACAGGCGCGCATGCCGGATATTACAATGGAACAAGTGCACGATCGAAGCAGTGCGCCATTAAACTTTTCTGCATATGATAGCAGTGATTATTTGGACATTACGAAAGTCACTCCAACGCAGGTGAGTAAAGAAAAATTTCACAATTATTTAAGTAAAAGAATTTAAGATTTAACTTTGTTCTTGTTAATGATTTATTGCGCATCAAGAAAAATGTAAAACAATAAATTTCTATTTCCTAGATGCAAAGTAATTTAGCGAATATATCAGCGACAATCGATCCCGCCACAGTGCCTATACAGGATTATGAAGTTAAATTCTTAGTGCGTTTTTTACATAAAGTTTCTTGTCGCTTAAATGAAATGGTTAGAATTTTTTTTATTAAAGCTTGATTAGAGCATAATTTTGAATTGATTTAATTTTGCAGTTCTGTAACGAAATTCAGACATTGTGGTGTCGTGCGGATTTTATTGGTAAATTAGCGCGAAAATTGCTATATGCGCCCATGACGCAGCAATGGTTTGACAAGTCAAGAGGTATTTAAACAAACACACATTTAAGTAATGTATGGTATTTTTATGTATAAATAAGTAGATAGAATATATATATATATTTTGTTCCTTTTTTTTGTTTGTTTTAAAAATTACTAAATACTTTAATACAACTACATAAATTATTCACATATAAAAATTATACATTTTAAGGTGTAAGTGAATTATGTGAGGAACGTTTACCCGCCCGTATCTGCCTACGCCCGTTGGCTTCGTATCAAGTGCTTGGACTCATCACATTTTCCATGCTCGTCGGTTACTCGTTGTGGCACGCGCCCATATACGGACTTCTTATATTCATATTACTATTTTTTATTTATATAACAATACTAGCGCTATGTGTGTAATTATTGTATGCATATACATATAATTGAATGTATATGCATATTTATATATATGTATATATATATATATATTTATTTATAAAACTACATAATTATTGTTCACATTCTCCTCTCTATTTAAAATTTCTTAGCATTTCATGTATGTATGTATGTGCCCGGGATGTGCGAGAAAACAATTAATCGATGGAATTAATTAATCATGAGTAATCATTTGTGATTCATTCAAATGCCCAAATACAATACAATTTTCATTTATCATAATCCGTTGGATTGATTATTGGTTGAAAGAAAGTTAATACAATTTTGATATAGTTTGTTGATATTGTTGTTGTTGCTAGTTAAGAATTTTATTATGATACATCTAAGTAAAAATATGTACATCTATGAATGAGCCGTGTTTTTTCTAAGCACTTTAATATTCAATAGAACATAGCACCGCGTTAAAGTATGAAAATTTTTACATACATATACATATACATATGTACTACATATATTGCATTAAAAAGACAAAACAAAAAATAGAAAACGCTTTATAAAATAATTCAGACTTTATGATTAACTACAAATTTGATTAATAATCAATCAATTTGATTATTCGCACATCCTTAGTATGTAAATGTTAAATCTAAATTTGAGTGCAAATGATATTTTATATATATTTATATGGCATATATTTGTATACAAACATACATATATTGCATATGCATGTCTAATGTATTGTCTAAGGCTATGCGATGTCACGTAGTTTTATGGCCAATCTCAATGGCTGGTCAGGCACGGTCACCAAACGCAACTTACAGTCAATTGGTGTTGTATTCTTGCATTCCAATTTAAAGTTGCTTATTACCTGTGCAGTGGTATATAAAAATAATTTTTGTTTTTTTTTAAATATAATATTATTACAAAACTGAACTTTTGCATATATGTATGTACGTATTGGATGCTACTCACCGTCGCCAACAGGCAATGCATTTGCTTCATGGCCATTCTACGTCCAATACATGAACGATTACCAATGGCAAAGGGCAGTGATCCGTGTGATTGCAGCACCTCCCGCAATTCACCAGTTTCCTCGTTTCTTTGCCAGCGTTCGGGTTTTGCCGTTTCTGGGTCGGGGAAATGTTTAGGTTCGCGACCCGCCGTGTATAAAGAAAGTAATACTAAGCTCTGTATTTTTTTTTTTTTTTGGAAATGAAAACAAGAAGATGGGACTATAAAATGAAAGCTTCCTTACTAGATTTAAATAGCATTAAAATAAAATAAAATTGGTTTCCAGATGCCTTTAGATGCACATTCATTCAAAAAAATATATATAATGCTCATTTTTATTGAAGAGTTTATGTTCGTTTCTTCTGAAAAAGCTTAATTCGTACGTTTGAACTTCAATGTTAGCCTATTGTTGCTCGTATTTACTTTGTTTTCTGCATAAAAAAAAATTTTCAAATAAATAATTATGTTTAGAGCTTGCAGTCTTTAATTTCTCTCATTTTTAGCGCTTAAAGGTTAAGTTAATGGTTCTTATTATTGTTGTTGTTATAGAGGTCGCTAATCCCGCTTTGGGACAGGCTAATCAGTCTAAGTCACCGAGGTCATCTAACGGGTGGTCCAGGAAACGTGCTTTTCCGACGGGCTCGGACCTGAATGAGAGGGGGGTTAGATGCGTCGGTTTTGGGGCGCGTATAACGAGGTGGGTTGTGTAGTGCGTAGATTCTCTACATGCAGGGCAAACATTGAGTTTATTGGGGTCGAGTCTGGATAAGTAAGAGTTTAACCTGCTACAGTATCCAGACCTAAGCTGCGACAGTTTCACGCGGGTCCCTTGGGTATCTCGGGTCAGCTCGAGCTGGTTGTCTGCGATAGGTGGTGCTTGATCTCCGAGCACGCCATTCACGGGAAGGGAGTCTTAGAAGGTGTTGACCGGTCTAGTGGTTGTTGCATATGTTGCTAGATGGTGGCCTTCATGTCTAGTACAACCTTTCTTATGTGCCTAGGTTGAGGTTCAGCTTATATTAGGTGCCTATAGGGCGATACCTACGGTAACATTCCATTAGGAACTGCTTGCTCAGCAAAGCATTATGCTTCTTAACTCGTAGCATAGATGTTTCGTTTCCTGCCGCGGTCCTGAGGGCAGTGTTCTGACAAGATTGTAACTCTTTATCTGCGTCTCGTTCGTCCCCGGCGCCCAATTTGGTGAAGCATAGCTTACGATCGGGCGACCAATTGCTTTATTGGTTGCCAGCAGGGTAATTTTATCTTTACCCCAGGCGTTGCGGGCTGGGGCTTTGGTATTTTGTTACAGCTCTGGCATTTTGCGGCAATTGCGGTCGTATGCGGGGTGAAGGAGTGCAGGCCGTTGAGTTTGATTTCCAGTATCTATTTATGGTCGGAAATTTCACTTCATCGACCTTCACATCTAATTCCGGCCTGCATTCCTTCGTGCAGCTGGCAAACAGGGTAGCCGAGGATTTCGTTAGTTGTATCTTAAGCTGTCTGGCAGTGAAGGAGTGTGACAGGTCGCCGAGATAGTAGTTCACTTTCGAACATAGGTCATCAATATCCCTGCCAGACATCAATATCGTGCAATCATCGGCATAAGAATATAGTGAAACTTCTTATGGCGGAGGAGGGAGTTTCGAGATGTCGTATTGGCTTTAAACAATAGTGGGGAGAGGACACCACCCTGCGGAAACTCTTGTGTAATATTCCTTCTTTCGATGTTTCACCTCGAAATATTACCAATGATTGTCGATCACTCAGGTAGCCCACGATCCACCTCTGCAACCCCGGCGGTAATGAGGATGCCTCAACGTCCGATAGCAGCACTGAATGTTTGATGGTGTCCAGTGCTACCAGGACAGTTCGAGCGCAGGATCGGCATTTGGTTAAGGCCTTTAACTGTCCGAGTGTTTATGGCGTTTAGTGCTGTTGTGGTACTGTGCAGATGGTGAGAGAAAGTCGTGGACCTCAAGTGTCTTCGCTGCTGGGTTCGTTTGAAACATAGGTGGATCTCTGTCTCTGTCAATGTGCATCATACCGGGCCCAATCTATCTTAAAGGATCATTTATGCTTCGATTTGCTTAAGATTTGAAACAAAGCAACCTCCTTACCTAGACTATTATGCAGAAAACTCCACTATCTTTCTTATGAAAAACCTTATAAGGGATATTTTTATCTTATACTCAATTTACATACATACATTTCGCTCGATGTGATAGCCACCAATATTCGCATCGGTATCTAAATAGCGTCCAATAAATGGCGCAATGGGATATAGGCGCATAGATTCTTTAATCAGTCCGTGTACCAGCATATTTCCGCGACCATCATTCGCAGCCATTTCGCGGGCTAAACGTTCTTGCATTTCCGTATTTTGGGTGAGTAAATAGAATGCCCATTCTGTGGTGTAAGCTGTCTATAGTGTGGCATAAAAAAAAAGGAGAATTTATTTAGTAATTAAAATAATTATTAAAAATTATTATTTTTCAATAGAAACCGCACCGTATCGCCAGCAGCAATTACCAAATCCACAAATATACGTTTAACCGTCTCCAATGGCATGCCAGCTGATAATAGTTTCTGAAAGAGTGAGTCTCCAGCACAATCATGATTATGAAGACCGTTATTTTCACATCTATTTACAGATGCGTCTGGTTGATTCACAAAAAGATCAATCAACTCATTGCCCTTATTCAACACGGCTGCTACGCTCTCCTCAAATTCACGCCACATACGCATATTGAGGCGTTTAGCCAATTGCGGCGGAAATGTCATAAGTGCCGAACTGGTGTCGAAGATCCGGTGAACGATGCGCGAAAATTCATCCATGGTTTCGGTCATTTTGGGATCTTCAGCAGCGGAAAACCCAAACATTACCGTACAAACAACTAAATACATACATACACGTATGTAGGTGTATATTTTGGTGTTGGAGAGTTGAGAGTGAGAAGGAATTGAAAAGAATAACTAGAGTAAAATTGAGTATTGCAAAATTTTACATTTCTGCCAACCAACCATCAATTGCCCAATTATAGAGCTGCTGTTCCAGCTCCATTAGCTCAGTGTATTGCGATTGTGCGCTGCTTGCTTGTGCCCTCCACAGATTCACCAAACGCAATGTACACGCTTCAATGTGTACATCCATCCACTTCATGGTGCCACCCAATAGGAAACGATTTAATATGCGACGATTGTGTAGCCATTCGACGCCCTCCCTACATGATGGCGGCGATCAATTAAAGTGTTAATGAAATTCATACAAATACTTCACAGTCATATGTATGTATGTATGCATGTATGTATGTACATATTATATATATTGGGATGATTTGGGTCTGATATCTTGTTTTTAACTCACATGAAGAACAATCCACGTTGGCAATTGTGCTGTTTGTTGTATAAAATCCAAGAGTCCGGCAGCGGATGGCGTGGATATTGGCCCTCATACAGAAATACCGCACGCATTTGACTTGCTGATGAAACAAATATGGCATCCTGTGCGCCGCCGAGACGTTCGAAAAATATCGGACCGAGCTCGTCATGACGTCGGTGTATGTATTTGTGTAACCTATAATCAAATAATAAAATATGTACATTAAAACTTATTTGAAATGCCAAAACCCAGTAGACGAAGCAGTGGATGGCAGGTGAACTTGTTGTTGTTCGCCATAGAGTTTAATGAACCAACTTTTCCAAATTTATGCTGTAAAATTTCATGTGCAAATAAAATGTTACTTGCTTACGTTTATTTGAGTATGAAGAAAAGCATAAATAAAATTAACTTGAAAAATAAATAACGGCAATTTTAATGTAAAAATACTGAATTACTAAACTGTGGTTTTTTTTTGTTTTTTTATTTTTTTATTTTTTTTTTGTTTTNTTTTTTTTTTTTTTTTTGTTTTTAAGCATATGTATTTAGGCACAACACAATTTTTTTTTTCAATTTTTTTTTGTTTTTTTTTTTTTCAAAATATTCATTCAATCAAAATTCGTGCATCTGCACTCAACCTTTAATTTAAGCTGACCTTCACGAAAGCAGTATTGAATTTAGTACCATACATAGATCCTTGTAGCACATCTTATCTGTATGCATGCAGGTTCGCAAAAAAACGGCCATGAAATGATATCCGCTGCTGGCATTGAAAAATAAATCATCACAGCTTAGCGAAAAGCAATTCTAAAGCAGCTAAAAATAAATGAATAAATATTCGGAGTCGTCAAGTGAAGTCAGCTCGTTCACCAACTGATTTTTCAACACAGAAAAGGTCTTTGTTTTCCTCTACTACCACCGGCGGCACGTACTGCATGGCATACTCTCAGAGCTGGGGTGTTTTTCTCCATCCGAACGACATGACCTAACCAGCCTATAGCTATCTCTATAACTCCAACTTTTTATTTGGCCTCCTAAGTATCACACAGTTCGTCGTTCAACATCTATTGTATGCGCGGTTGCCCGTATTTAGAGGACCACAAATTCTTCTCAAAACTTTCCACACGAAAACTTTTAGTGCGGATTAATCGCAACTGCGTGTTGTTGTTGTTGCTATTGTAGCGTCTCTCCAACCCCGCATAGGAGCAGGCGAGATTAGTTCAAGTTATCGTGGTCATTTAGTTTATGTACAGAAAACGAGCTGTTTCAGTGGGCTCGTAGTAGATGGAAAGGGCGGTTTAGATGAGTACGTTTCAAGGGTCATGCACTGAGGTCGCTAGTGTAGTGTTACGGTTGTTGTTGTAAACGCTCTGAATGCTCCGAATTGATTTTCGTGTATATTGCGGTAGTTCCAGTCCTTGCCCTGACTGTCGCAGAAACTATTAGATTTTAGTCGCCTCTTGCGACAGGCATGTCTTCACACGGATAAATTCTCGAATCATAGGAGCACTTACTGTATACAGGATATACGTTGGATAGGTATGTCGAGTTCAAGTCTGGATAAATTGGAATTTAGGCCTATACAATAACCAGATCTTAATTGCGCCAGTGTTACTCAGGTCTCTCGAGGCAGCCCGAGTTGTAGGGAACAAAATATATGGCTTCGCTTCGGTAATTAGAGAATATAAAAAAATGCTTCTTTTCCACAGGTACTAAAAATCTTATAATTTTCAGCCAGAGTATACCAACTTACTTGAATTACCACAGTGCTATGTCCTCTCTGAGTTTTCTCTTTCTAATCCCGTTTTCAGATCTCGATTTCAAAGTTTCCTCCAATATTTATTCACTGTAAATCTCCTCGCAATCTGAAGATCTATTCTCTTCTCGTAATAATGTGTAAAGAAGAAAGTCTTGGTTTGATTCTAGTTTGAAACAATTTTAATCAAGTGATCTTATGTTTCGGTATAAATGATTGAAAAATCTCAATAAACTCCGATTATGAATGCCAGCGGCTTTTATAATTAATTGCTCAATATTTCTTTATGGAATGTAATGAAGTGTAGTCCTGCTTCCGGGTCTGTTTCAAAACTATATATTCAATTCCTACTCTTGCGCTCTCCTCACCCAACGCGGATCGTGAGCAAACCTTATGTGAGGTGCGTTAATACATAGATTGGAGCCTTGTATGACGACTAAAATAGAGTGAGAGTTCTAGTGGGCTTCATATGGCCTAAGGGTTCATACTTTGATGACTGCTCACCAGAGGCGCGCCTTCAAGCGGAATTATTTTTTCATTTTTTAATTCTTCACACATCGAGGTTGTGCGTTGGATATGGCACCTGCCACATATACGATATGTAAAGATAGTTTCAAAGCTACATAATGTCAACTACATACAATTAATATTTGTTTCTAATACTCAGTTGGATGCAAGTTGCCGAGGAGGTTTTTTTTCTTGTCGGAAATACCCACGGAGAGATTGACATTTCCTTAAGTGGGGTGACCGGAAGTTGAAAGAATAATATTAATTTTCTATAATACTGTATAGTGGACGACCTTTCGAAGGTAGTGCGCGTTGCTAACCATTAGTTGGTAATAAAAAATTACGGAAACTCAAAAGACGCGTAAGTTTTATAGAAAGCTGGGACGCATACAGATCTTTGCTCTAATGAAAAACTGCTATAGACGGATGTTTTGAGTTTTGCATAATGATTGAGGCTCTATTGTGTACAGTATGCCATAGTTAAAGAAAGGATAACTCGAAATTTGTTTACATGAGAGACGTTCGCATATTTTCAGCAGGTGAGAGGCTAGTTTTGTGCATCAATCGGGGTCTGAATCTTAAGTAAAATATGGCATAAAATTATCAGTTTATACTCAACTTTAAATATTTTATCTCCTGAATTTAGCGTAGTTTCACCCAAGTCAAACGGATTTCTATGAATAGGGACTTGGTAAAGAGGCTGTTTCAACTCGCAAAGACATCCGGCACACCTCAGATCTTCAATAGTTCAATCAAACTCATATGACATATTCAGGCTGATGGTTTAGGTGAAGTTTGTCCAAAATCATATGAATAACTTATGTGGTACAACAATAAATACTTGATGAAAGGGTGGTTTTTATTCTTTCAAATGAGTTAGAAATGCCAAGGATCGAGTGCAGGTCCGACTTAAATCAAAAATATTTATAAAACAAATTTTTCTAATTGTGGTCGCCCCTCGGCAAGGGATTCCAACCACTCCACCAACTATTGTATATTTCTGCCATGAAATAGAAGTTCCGCATAAAAATCTATCGGCCTTACGGAGTTGACTTAGAATAAAACTTTAGGCCGCTCCTGGCATTTCATAAATTAGTGGAGGAGCTTGGTCGACAATCGCTTCAGCGGTTACAAAGCGCCAATAATATTATATTATACATACATATATGATGAATGGGGATTTTAGAGAGTATTTAGTTTTTGTTTAAATTTTTAAGCTCTCACCATGATCAAGCCGTCTCAGCCTAAAAAGATTAATGCAGCTAAAAATTCAAAAAAAAAAAAAAAAAAAACAAATTACCACTAAATTTATTCATTTATACATCAAAGACATTTCAATTTCTATAAAAATTTTGGTAATCCATCTATGAACCTCATCATTTATCAAGTTAATCAGCAGTTTATCACATTAGATGATGAATCCTAAAGGAGATCAATCATTTGATTGAAATTTCATATAAGATAAATATTCACAGAATCTTTTGGAATGGCAGCCATCTTTTGCAAAGGAAGCGAGAAGCGAGAAACAGAAAAATGCAATGCCATTCCCCCTTCGATTGCCATACTTAATACGTTCTTATATATGTTCTGCTGGGTTAAGATTTCTTTTGGAATATTTGAAAGTCAAAATATTTAACTTTCGTCACTCGAACTGATTTATTCAGAGTATGTGATCATTCACTAAGAATATAATAAGAGGTATTTACATATCAAAGTATGGCGAAAACTGTCTACACCTTTTGTAAGAAACGGTTTTTTGCAAAGCAAAATTTCATAAATTCAATGTGAACTTCACAACTGTTCGAAATAAAATTCTAAATTTTATGGCTTTTATTTGAATGCTTATGTAAGTTAAGCACTTTTGCATAGTCTCGAATTGGTCTATGTGTTTATTAAATAAGTTAAGTTCATAATTTGATCACAAAAATTCAAAAATTGTCATTTATGCTGTCGACAACTAAGTTGAAAACCGGCGGCTGAACACCCAAACGCGGTTTCAAGCAAGGTGAGTCTCTATTGTGGCCCTAGGGGTTTCGAGAGAAAGAACTTGAGAAAAGCGTATAGTCTTTCCTCAGCTTTTAAGCTCATTTTAACTTCAGTGGACCCTCCCCTAATATTGGGCAAAAATCAGGCAAATTTTGAATTTTTTTGTGGGAGAATGAATAGGTTTTTACTATTATATTTGTTGGTTATTTGAATTTTAAAACGCCAAAAAAATACTCGAAACTCAAAATGACGGTTACAAATTGACGTTTTCCGTCGGCCTCTGCGCAAAAAACAAGGCCCAACAACTTGAAGCCTACAGCCTCTTGCAGTGGACTAAAAGTAAAACTCGTTGTCATTCTTCATTCCATTCAAGATCATGAAATTCCCTACATCCTAAAACTCAATTGAAACAATTTGAATGACAAATTTATTGTAAAATGCTCATTGCAATTATAAAGTTAAATTTTTTGCTACTTTTTACCCTTCAATTGCGTTAAAAAAATATAAATAATTAATTATTCATGCTAATCTTAGGTTCAAGACATACAAAAAACTATATTCTTTGAAACAGTATTTAGATAAAAGAAATCGAACGGATGGATCTAGCCCGGGGCTTGAAGTTAGCTCGGAAAATATGGCTTCGAGAAAAACGCATACAACATTTTTTGAAAGTTCGCAGTTTGTGCGTGAGACAGGTGTGTTCGAGAAGCTACCATTTGAGAAATCCCCTTGAGCACATACTCTACAAATATATGGCTTTCATTTTTTGCGTAAAATAAATCAAAATTAAGGAAGGATCGATCCTCTTCAGCGGCTAACTTAACAAGCAATACTGTACAATTTCTGATTCGGAAAACCCTCATGTAACCTATACATTTCCTATGTTGAGACCTGGGTACTAGCCTCTACGAAAACGGCGGAGGAACCGCCAAAAACCCTGCCATGTTCGGAAATTATTTGTCTCCAAAGGTTGAAAAAGACAGCATGGATGATATGAGGTTTCGACGAGCTTGGCGCTACATGTCACGCATTTTTCTTTGAATTAAACTTTTATACTTGGTATACTTTTAATAGGCAATATGTTATCAATATATGAAATTTTATACGACTTGGTTGAGTAGTCTCGGAGCTTATTCAGTTCAAACTATAAGGTCTTTATTACTTAAGGTTAGTATATATATATAGATATATATGCACATATTGGTAAAAGAACTGTTGTAATCTCATTAGAGAGCTACATCAGAATTCTTCTTGTAGAACTATATTACTTATATTAAAGAATTTACCAGACTTTACCTAATTTTGGAAATAAGACCTTAATTTTCTGCTATCACATTTCATTGTTGCGCTATTTGGTGTTCTCTATTGCATATATTTGAAGTGAGCTTTTATTTTTTTATGTTAACGAAGATGAAGGAATCTTTACTAAAATCAAGTTTTCAGAGTAAGAAGTCCACAGTAAGAAAACTCCGATACTTTAATGAATTGGTGGCAAAAAACTTCCAGCATTAGTGAAACACCGAGAGCAAAGTGACATTTTAGTAAAGGAAGATAGTTTTTTCTTGTTTTGTTTGTTTTTATAATATTAGTAGTAGCCAAAAGTAATCCATTATTTTTCCAATAGATGGCGTTATTTATCTGTATCTCGCGTTGTAGAAGTCCGATAGGATTTCGCGTTAGAAAGTTAACATTTCATACTAAAAAAAGGTGCTCGACCGAAAAAATCGCTTCAGCGGTTACAAAGCGCCAATTATGTATATATATACATATATATGGCGTTTATGGTCCTGATACTGTTTTCGATCTAAAAGACGCTTCACGGAGTGGAAGCTCAACTGCTTAAAAGGTCGATCAAATCATGGACATAGTCGAGTCCGACCGTCAAAAAAGCACTCTTTCGCTTGCCCAGCAACTAAATATTGCTCAAAAAGCCGTTTGCAACCGTTTGAATAAGGTTGGTTATGAAAAGAAAATTTAAACCATTTAATTTCATGCAAAAAAAATAATGGATTTCTTTTTACTACACTACCAATATTATTCGCGATTTGTAACCGCTGAAACGATTTTCGGCCGAGCTCTTCCTCCAATTAGTGGTTTTGCTGCTTGATATTTTCCCAACAAATGAAGAGGCCTACAGTTTATACTAAGCCGCCTCCGAGCGTTTGATTGATTTTTAATGAGGACCCTTGAATTTCATTATAGAAATACACTAGGAGGGTTGGAAATTTCCTGCCGTGGGGTGAACGCCATTATAAAACTTAATTTTCTATAATTTTGGATGTTGGTCGAACCAGTATGGCAGTGCGCAATGATAACCAGTTGACTATTGCCTGGAGGGTTTCGCTTTTATATTTATAAGAAAGTACTGACGCCAAACGGCAGGCTGGATGAAGAATGCGAGAAAAGTGAAAAACAGAAATAAATTCAATTATTGGCCCTGGCTTATGATTCGATAAGAATAGACTGAGCATATATAAATAAATTGAAATTTTTTCTATACAAAAACACTAATTAACTGCAGCGATAATTCTGATTGTGCATAATTTGGTTTCTTGAAAATTATTTAATTTTAATTAAAAAAAAATATATAATATATATGTTATGAATATATGTATGCATTTGCTATGGAAATGCGAAAACGCACTAACACTAATTTGTGCATTGCATCGCTTATGTAACCCTTTGCATTAATATTATAACACACTCGTAAGCTCAACCCCCCGCCCTGGTATTTTAAACCATTTTTCTTATTACTTTTCATTTGTCTTCGTTTTTCACAATTTTTTTTTTTTTTGCCGCTCTCGTTTCGAATTTCTAGAAACTTGACACAAAAAAGATCTTAAATACACAAACTTCTTTACCCGCTTATGCTTAGTCACTTGTGGGCCGCACGTTTTATATCTGCAATTGTATGTACTAGTATGCATATACGTGTATGTATGTGTGTAAACAAATTGCATACACAAAAATTCTGAAAAATATCAAAACACTCACTGTTGTCCACCACCAGCGGCTATTAGATCCCATAACGTGCCTATTAAGGGCAATCCTTTCGGCCTTGGCAATTTTCGCGTTTCCGTTGCGGCTATCTCATCTTTCACTTTCGATGGCCAAGCCCCCAGGCAAGCTGATATGTGCGGTTTGCCCGTCGCTGTGATTGAGATGGTTTCCGCTTGTAATGCTAAGAAATCATGCTCGTCCATTCGATATTTGTGCGCTTTGCCGAACATAACTAGCAGACGGAACCAGCAGGCGCGTAAAGCGTTTAAAACCACGGATGGCAACAAATTCAGCATAACTACAACAATGACGACGCACACGCTTGTATCGAATTCGAGTGGCAATTGCAATTTTTCACAATCACTAGATCAGCACTCACTCAGCTACCACCTTCGACGCGTAGTCGTTTAGTCGCGTAGTGGTGTCGTTGTTGGCTGGCGCAAGGCTGGATATGCTTATGAGGCGCAGTTGGTATGAGCGCGGATGATATGATGATGTCTATGTGGTGGCGGTGGTTAATGTGTGCTGTAAGTTGGGTGTCGTGCAAATGCTGTTTCGGCAAAAAATTATGACTGCTCTTTTGTCGTCTTCGTCTTGTGCACTTTTTTCCTTCCTTGCTGTGTAGCGTTTTTTCTGTTTTGTTTTGTTTTTGTTTTTTTTTTTTTTCTTTTTGCCGTTCGGTATTCTCGTTGTGATTTTTAAAAAATGTAAAAAACGAGGAAAATTACAAATAATAATAACGCGTAATCGCAAATTTTGAGGATACAATAAAATTGCGTTGGGTAGTGAAAATATTTCGACTACCGCAGTGTGTGAGGGCTCTATTTAGAGTGCTAACACTTGGCTGACTGCCGACGGTCAGCTATTACACAGTGGTAGGGATTGGCGTTTAAGTTTCAATAAAAAGTAATAAAAAAGTGAATTACACCAACACTAAATACACTTCACGCAAGGCAACGCAGCACAACAATGGACACGTGAAATTCTTGAATTTTTGGGTTTTCCAACAAAAAAAAAGCGAAACAAAGTTTAAATATGCAGATTAAAATATTTTATTAATTTTTTTTTTTTTTTTTACAAATTAACTTATACCACGCCGGTGATTTTTCTGTTTAGACTTTACTATGTACATATGTATGTATGTATGTATGTATGTATGTAGGTATATTCGTAACAATGCGCGCCTCTTCCGTAAGCTATTTAGTGTTTCCACATTAAATAGTGTTCAGTGAGTGAGTAAGTTCTTGACGCGTTCACCGTTCGTGGATATCTGAAACCGATCGTGCAGCTGTGCCGTGTGTTAAAGGCGAAGTCAGAGCCAAAATCGAAGTCGCTACCGCAGCGCTAGCAGCACGCCAGCAAGCCACTAAGCCAGCCAGCCAGCCAGCAAGCAAGCATATAAGCAAGTAAGCAAGAAAACTGACCAACCATGCCGAAACTGAATCCGAGAGTCCCAACCTATTTTATATGGACGTGCAGCGTTGCGTAGAGCGAGCAAAATTTCACTGCCTAACGCCTAGGCAAGGCAGCGGCGTGCAGACATGAGACAAAAAAACAAAACAAAAAACACTTAAGAATAAGAATAAAAAACGAGGATAAAACCTTTAATTATGCATGTACGTGTACGTTCGGCAATGCATAACCATCATCAATATCACCATCATCACCATCATCATCATCATCATCATCCTCATCATCATCATCATAATCTTCATTAACGTTATCACGGTACTGTAAAGATCGCTTCAGCAAAGTAGTCTAATGATGGCGCTTTGACCGACAACGTTCAACGCTTAGCATATCGGAATGGGCAGAAAAATGGAAATTGGTGAATAAAGAATGAAATGTCGTGTTTTGACTATTTAACGAAAGTGATGATGATGACAATTATCGTTGAAATCCAGACTGTTGTAACTATCAAACACGCACACACACACCCACACACGCACACCCACACACACACACCATATTTTCTCTTGTGACCATGATTGTTAAGCAGGCCACCTTTTTTTAACGCGACGTCAGCATCGAGAATGATGCCTACTTAATACTTACACACATTACTTACATACATATATACACTCATAAACATACATACGCATTTATTACAATATATATGTATATAATACATTCTCGATGTTACGTACATAAGCACTGATATAATTAACAACACTTGGAGCGTGTGAGGTGTGATTAAAAAAGTAAAGAAAGTGGTAAAACAAAAACAAAAACAAACAAAAAAACAAAGAAAGCGCTTTTGAAATATTCTGCAACAATGCGAATCATATATTCAATATTTACAAAGGTGAGAGCAGATACGATTGCTTTGAATGTTTATTAATTTTGTAAATTAATTCATTACCTTGTGTGTATATGTATATATACATACATACATTAACGCGACCGCTGTAGCGACTTTCGGCCGAGCTCCTTCTCCAATTTTTGGTGTGCGTCTTGATGTTTTTCGAACAATTGGAGGGACCTATAGTTCATACTAACTGGCATCCGAAGGGCCGATGGATTTTTGAGGAGCTTTAATTCACATTGTGGTCGCCCCTTGAACGGGGAATCTCAACGCTGTACGGGGGCGGCTTGGAATTACTGCATATTGTTCCATTTGCGGGAATATCTTTAAGAAGCACGACATATAATTGGGGAGTAGCTCGGCCGAAGATCGTTTCAGCACTTACAAAGTGCCAATTATAATCAAATATAGGGTTTTCCAATAGGGATGATATGACTTCTAAGTGTCATTTTGGCCATCGTATTCAGTAATGTTTACAATTTCATCATGACAGAATATACGCAAGAGCAACGTTTACAAACAACAATAACAACAACTCGAAAACGATAAAGATTTTTTTAAAGAAAATCATCCTCTCTGTTGAGGCTCACTTTCGTCTGAGTGGGACGATAAATAAACAGAACTGCCGATTCTGGTGCGAAGAAAATCCACAAATTATTCATGCACATCTATTACATGCACCTAAATTGACAGTTTGGTCTGGTGAAATCTTCTCACTTCTTTCGAAATGAAGCTACGGTGCTACCTGTCAATGTAGAGCGGCATAGATCAATGACAAGCAAGATTTTTATGGCCACAATTAGAAGAAGTTGTTCTTAACAATATCTGGTTCCAACAAGATGGGGCGACGTGTCACACAGCACGTACAACAACCGTATTATTGCAAGAAAGGTTTGGAGATTCGGTTATTTCAAGAAATTGTGACATTGAAGCTCCTCCAAGAAGCTGCGGTTTAACATCCTTAGACTACTTCTTGTGGGGTTATTTGAAGTTATTGGTCTTTAGCAATAAACCAGACTCTCTTCAAGCTCTAAAAGTCAATTTTGAATATTCATGATATACGACTTAATTTAGTAGAAAAAAGCTCACAATTTGGGCTCATCGAATTCGTTCCTGCAATAGAAGTCATCGATTGTACTTCACATAAGATAAAAAAACTTTGGATTTTCTTAACAATTAGTGTGTGTGTGTATGTTTTTTTTTTAAGAAATCATATCAATCTTATTGGAAAACCCTATATTAACCACGCGTCTGGGAAATATTTGTGAGGAAAGGTACGGCCCACACCACCTCTTTGGCGATTTTAAAGCTGCCCTCACCAACACGAAAAAGAGATACCTTCATGCTTACCTACGACTATGCAAACTTCTGTTGTGTAACACCAAAATCTCCCCCAGAAGTGGAAAGTACCACTCCGAGTCGTTCGGTACCAAAGGGAGATTCGGACCGGGTGACTCTCTTGCGTTCGATTTCTTCAACAATATGCTGGAGTAAATTGTTTCTATTTACTTCTATTTACTGCATTACTAAATGGATATTCTAAGAGAAGAAGAGAAAACCAGCGTTGGAAGAATCAGGTGGAGAGCGACATGGTGTCTTCAATTAGTGCCATACAGCTAAAAGAACATGAAGATATTAAAACCATCCATTTCCTAACATACCCTTTTTCTTGACGTTTTATGGCTTGTATGGAAATTCACCTCCCGTAAAAGGATTTATTATGCCTTTTCCATGAAAAAAAGAAAAAAAAAATTTTATTATGAAATATTCTCATTCCCAGAAATCGCACATTATGCTTTTGATTAAATATGACGACGACAACTGTGTCTGATTAAATTTTCTCTAGAATTTAGGTGAAGGAACGTTTTCACGACATGATCAATGTCGCCATGTATTTCGCCCCACACATCTTCTTCCACAAGCTGAGGACCGTAAATCGATAGAAAAACTTTTCTCTTGAAAACTGCCAACGGCGACTCATGCGAATGATGAGAGACTTGTACTCGTAGAGTTTGATTTTTCTTCCTCGAGAGCGGGCTTTCAATTGCCTTTGTAGTTCAAAGTAGCAAAATAATAGTAGTGATTCTACCTTGGATTTCTTGACTGCCTATATTGTTGCTGCTGACACTGGCTCCTTGGTAGACAAAGTTATATAAAACCTAAATTAATTTCATTATCTGAAACAAACATGGGGACTCAAAATAATTAGTTATCTCCTGTAGAAAGATGGAGCTCTTCTCTATTAGCTTATATAATTAACATCTGACCTTTCTCAATAAGCAACTTGACTGGATGTAGCACTTTGAGAGTAAATATATGTGATACACAAGTCTTTTCCCAATTTCACTTCTTTTCTTTCTCTTCGTTTCTAAGGTGCTTTATTTTCTCCTGGCTTTCATACTCAATAAGCTAACAGACTCCAACAACTCATTGCAATGAAGCAACAGCTTTTCATCTGTATCTAATACGAATTCAAAGCATGCGCTCATTTTTACATATAAATATTAATACAGACATACATACATATGTTTATGTATACGTATTTACCCTTTTCTTAGAGTGTGAGTGTAATGTGGCTTATGGGCCAAGTTCAAGTTCGAGAATGTGGCAATAGGTGAAAAGAAAGTTTTGAGCATATACATGTATGTATATAAATAAGCACGTGTGTATATAACAATTAATATATTTTAAAATACTTTCTTATATGTATGTGATTAGGTGCTGAAATCGTTTGAAAAATTTCAAAAAAGACTTTTTTTAAAAACAATTTAAATGAAAATGACTTAATTTTGGCTGGGGTTTTCCTCAGTTTTCGTATTGTGCTTCCTGACGTTCGAAGTACTGATTTTTTTTATTGTGCGGAGTTTGTTTTTATGTAACAAATAGTAAATCCTATAAAATCTTAGATTAAATTTATCAGAAGTTGGCACGAGTCACCCGCCGGGTGTGAAGGGTTAGATGTCTTTCACAGCTTCAAAAAGTCGCTAATTTTGTTTTTTTTCTTATGAATTACTAAAACATCTTGAGAATATTATGCTAAATCTTCAAGTCGATCCGAATAAAATTTTCGGAAATGCAGCCTTAAGAAGTCCAACCTTTAAACGCATGTTTCTCAAAATTAAGTTTTCCAAGGCGATTGTTGAAAGTTCGCGATTACTACTCAACCGAGTTTGTAGGAATTTTATTCTGGTCTTTGAGATAAAAATCACAAGAAAATAGACGAAAGAATTTTTTTTTCAGTCATTACAGTTAAAAAAAATTTCTTGCAAATTTTGCTAAATAAAAATGTAAAAATGTTTGCCAGAAATCCAATATTCACTTTTTTTTGGTTGTTTTAACCAAAACACGAATTTGTTTAAACTTCGAATGATCCAGTCATGAGTTCGACTGTAAACATGGAAGTTTCTTTTTTTCCGAGAAATCACCGGAAATACCATCAGAATGGGGGAGCTTTGAATATGTACCTATGCATGCAAATTTCATAAATTCTTATTCAAATGAAATAAATATATATTTAAGTTAGCAAAATGTTTAAATAAAATATTTAATTTTTTTATAAAAGAAAATACTTGAAAATACATCTTTTTTCCTTCTAATGTAACCCCGTAAATGGATATCCATTTTCATATATTATGTACGTACATACATACTACTGTGAGCAAAAAGTTAGGTGAATTTTAATATTTTGGGTTAACTCTATGTTTTTAACACTGTTATTGACATCTACGCCAAATCTCATGTCAACGTCATCATTGGTATTTCAGTTACGCTCGTGTTCACTAAACGACTAAAAGTGCGTTCGTGGTTTTTGCATCACGATAATGCACACGGCGCTCATTATTCGTGACCATTTCGCTAAAAAATTCCACGAATATTGTTGCCTAACCGCCGTATTCGCAGGACTTAGCACCATGTGACTTCTGGCTCTTCCAAAAACTCATGAGACCACTTCGAGGACACCGTTTTGAGTTCGTTGAGGAGATTAAACATGAATCGACGCGCTCTCTGAAGGCCATGCCAGAACGTGACTATTTGACATGCTTCAATAATTGGAAAAAGCGTTGACATATGTGCATAGCATCGGCTATTGGGACTATTTTGAAGGCGACGAAATCGAAGTAGTAGAATAAATAAAAATTGTTGGTATACAACATTGTATAAGAATACAACTGTGTATCGCCGTTGAGTTACACTAAAAACTCCGTCAGGTTCGAGAATGACCTCTCCAAGCCGTTGCAGAGAAGCGGATTCCTAAAGCTAAAAAATAAGAAGTACAACTCGACTATGAACTAGAACTACACGATCTATCTAGGAATTAGCTCTGAAACCAATGCAGAATATCTTTCGTCAAAATATGATACTTTAGAATGGAGGCAAATGGAAAGTAAAGATATTCTTCGAAAGAACGAGAAGAGTTTTGCAAAAGATTAATGAACCTTTGTATACTGGCAACAGCGCGGATTAGGAGCTCAAGAATTTAGCCGTGATAAGGCATGCCTGCGGCGAATTAAATCCAATAGTTCTCGCAAGTCCGGTCTGTATACCGGTACGAGCTGAATTTTTGTACCAAGGATTGGCACTCCCGTAATATTCCCCAAAACCCATTTTTTGCGATTACTAAACTACAACAACAACAGAGACTACGGTGGTTAGCTCATGCCGTTAGCATGACTGAAAACCAGCTTTAAAAGTTTTCAATATTTCTTTTCTAATGGAAGCAAAGAAAGACTTCCACTCCATTGGTGGATATATACTTATTTAGAATACTAAATATCTCGCTCTCAGATGCTCTCTTAAGGGCGTGTTGACAAAAACCTCATATCTGAACAAATCGATGTATGGGAGAAATATGTTATATTTTTCTGATTTCGATAATTTTGAATTCACCCTTTGATGCCCTTTTCGACGTATTTATCTCAAATCTGAAAAATCGGTTGCATATGTATAGCGAGGTTCCTATGAGTTATCAATACAGTATAAAAATTACTGCAATGTGAAAAACTGATAGCAATTTTAGTTCAAACGGACGAACAGTCAGACAAATATACATATAAAAGGACAGAGGAATATGGCTAAATCAACTCAGATCGGTGCTCCGACCCCATCATATAGATGTATGTATGTACCATAATGCTCCTCATAAAAACCCATCAGCCGTTCGTCACTCTACAAGTAATGAGTAGTATATATTCCACACTTGTTTATCTTCCGCTAACCGTTTTGCATGAAATGCCCCACACGTTATATTTCTCTTCAACGAACAGCTGAGTTTAATTTCACTAAACACTCTCTTACTCTTTTGATGGAGCTGCTCCAAAAATGTATAGAAAAGCTTTTGCTCTTTCAGATTTAAATACAAATATTCGTTTATACTTTAACGAGGTTGGCAGTCAGCTCATATTCTAATATGTAAAATTGCACGATAACAAAAGTCGCTCCTTGCTGAACATGAGATTGTTCTTTTTGTGGACTGCATTGAAAGTATTGGCAAAGAATGCTGGCTAAAATCATACTCAAATATTGCATACAAATTCAGTTGCATTCGAGTCGCGTGAGCGACAAGTTGTCATTCGGTGTGCCGGGTTTTTAATGTATTCGGTTGTAGGTGAAATAGTGGTGGTTGTTAATAATTGTGCCGGTTTTTGGACGTCTCTTGTGAATCTACAAATACAATAGAGTGATTTAGGGAGCGGCGTTATACGTATGTGTGTACATGTGTCTATGAAATTTTCCTGCCGTATACAATGACGAGAGTAATCGTGTTATAGAATTATCTGCGTGCAAAATATTAAAGAAAACAAAGATAATTGAAAAAAAAAAAATATAATATATTGAAATTTTCAAACAAAATAAAAGATGTGTTTAAAAACTTTCGTGTGTTTATTCGGCTGCTCGACTACTTAGTTACGCACTAAATTACTCAATGCTTTTTTGTACATAATTTCAAGACTTCAGTTGTTGTTATTGTTGCGGAACGAATTTCGCACTACGTGTGCTTATACATACCTATGTACGTAAATTCGGCGCCTTTTTGCGCCTTTATTGCCTCTCGCCCAATCAACGAATTATACAACATTGACGTTTAACAATTAGAAAGTCGGGAGTGCGACAGCCGGCGCTACAATCTGTAGAAATAATCAGCTTAGAAGTATCGTTGATATATGTATGTATTTTTGTAGTATCATACTTTGTTTTAGTAAAATTTATTTGCATTTCATTTTCTGTTGGCTCTACATAAAAGTGATTGGAGAGTGTTATATTTACGTATAAGCAAAAATAAGAGAGTGCTAGTGTACTTTTACAAATATACAAACACACATACATATGTATGTATATTATCTGTTTCTATTCACACGTGCTTCCACCTACAAAAATAACATAATTACCTTGGAAGCCGCATAGTTTTCATTAAGTTCAAAGTGTTTGACGTGCCTTACATATATACAAATATACAAGCGAGGTAAGTAGACCAACAGCTGTTTTATATATGATAGGCATGCGTACATTTGTATATGAAAGTATTGTACATACATAATATTACGTTTCTTATTCCCATTTGGTAATACAATAGTTTTGTTTATTTACTAGTACATTTTGCCCGCTGTGCGAGTTTCTTTCCGTTCAATGGAATTCCAATACTGTATTCTAATAATTTCTTATTTCTTGCACCATGTATGTGCGTGTATATGGATTTCAATTATTAAATTGCAAGTTGTTGCTAAGTATTAAAAAGCCACATGTATATAAATACAAGCATAAATACAATACATATGATGTATATACTCATTTATACAATAAAGTGAGCATTGGCTGTTGGAACGAGTATATGAGCTGATAAAATTTCTATTTAAGAAATTTAATCAAAAAATCTTTGCAATTTTTGATTATATACATGTACATACATACATATATGTACACACGCATGTATGTAATTTTCGCCGACAAATGTCTATAAATTAAAATTTTAAACTTGTATTTTAAAATATTTTCAATTTTTAACGGTTGCTTTGACTTTATTAATGGAACATCTCTTTGTTCATGTGGTTGCCGCGGCTGGACTTACAGTAGCCCATTCTTTTTGCCGACATTCATCTTGGAAAGTTTTCCCACAAAAAATACTCTAACAGTCAGTTGAATTGCTGATAGTATAGATCCGAATTAAGGGTTTAGTCGCAAGGTCATCCTGATCCTCTGCCAAACCCACCAAATGTACAACCGAACCCTCCTGGCGATGAATCCAGGCTCGGTTAACGTTTATGTCGGCTCACTGCCCTGCGACAACGACTGGTTTCTTTTGACATTTCTTAAGGGGTTACATAGGTCTTGAAACTTCAAAAAATTAATTTTTTTGATAATTTGTTTCAAGACGAAACTGTAGAAGTTAGAGAGTTTTAACAAACCACCGTCTTTGTCATGGCTTGAACGATGGCGAAACTTTCTTAAAACCACTTTATCGAAATCGGTAGTCAAAATTTCTCAACGACTATTGAAGCGATCGAGTTCAAATTTTCCACACTTCTTTTAAGCATATTTTTGTGATCCCTGAACGAAGGATTTATTTTATCTTTGATTTCAACTCATTTTACAAGGCAATATGTGGTCTAATTTTATGCAAAAAATTACGTTTTTTGTAAAAAAAACGTTACCAAAAATTCAATTTTTTATTTTTTAAATTTTTTTTGTTCAGTGACAAGAAAAATTCACCTACTTTAAGAAAAAATTTGGATTTTTGAGTTCAGATAAAAATTGAAAAAGTTATCATGACTACCGCGAAAGCACTTTTTTGTGGACGGTCTACGCCACGGCACTGCCAACGCCTTGACTTAAACTATTTTTCATTCAAATTTTCATCAAATGTTGTTCACATATGGTACTTTTATATGTAAATAAAATAAATAGTATACTTTATTTAGTATCTTTTGAAAAAATTAGAGAAAATAAGCTTTTTTTGGCCTTCAAGACCCCTTAAAGTGGTACACTTATCATCACCAGTCATTATCCACTTCTGAAATGACTTCATTTTGATATGATTCAGCACCGATTCGCAGACGGAAGTTTGGTTTATTATGTTTATTCTTGTTAACTCATGTGAATTCAGCTTTGCCATCCATTCCATGTGGGTTCAAATTGTGCTTTTGTGCAATGTTTGACTCCTGGGCAATCGAAACAATGCCCGAAAGTCAGGCTCTACGATTTCCATTGTTTTATTGACATTCTCAAGAATTAACCTTCCACACCGGGGAGCATCTTTTACAGCATAACTACCGGAACGAAATCGACTGACCCAAAGTTATGCATGATAAACTGTTACAGTATCGGAACCATAAACTCTACTCAGATTTTCAGCTGCGTGATGTGTCATGTCTTTTGCCTTTTATCTCTCTGTTGATGTCCATCTTCGAAATGCGCACAAACACTACTTAATTAAGTGATCAACACATCTACCGTATTGTTTTTTAGTACAAAATATCATCTTTCTAACGACATCTAGCGGTATACAATGGAACAAGGGATACAGATCACAAAAGACATCTATCGCAAAAATAATGGAATACTTTTTATTTAACCTAATATATTGTGAATTTAAAGCCTGCTCTTCATTCTGTACGATTTGGAAACAAATTATCGCTAATTTAAAAAAAAATCATTTTGTTAGCAACTCTACTATAAATAACCCAATCTGATACGACATATTAACTTTTTTGCATACATAAAGGAGTACATAATTGCAAAATATAATATTATGCAATGACATGTCTGGAAATGATTAGATATTAAATTTCTTATCATATTGCACATTCCACATATGTATGTTAGGTATGTTAGGTATGTAAACATATATATGTATTTACATATATATATAAACATATATATCCTCGTATGGGAGTGTAAATATGCTATACTCGTATGTACATAATGATAATGGCCAATTGTATTTGCCTAGTCTGTGCAATGGAATCGTGATTAGCAAAATGCAAACTTACACTTTTGTTATGAAAAACGTTAAAATTTAGAAGGCGTATCCAACTCGGGCGAGGCTTTGAATCCCTGCACTCCAATATGTTCGGTTTAAGCCTTTGCTGAAGTCTAATTGCAACGTCCGCTCACCTCAGAGCGTAGCGATGTTTTAAGCTGGGTTTAAGACCAGCCACTTCGTAAAAAAGAAATGTCTCGGATGAGAGACTGCTAGAAATGTTTTCAGAACCACGTTTTATGGGGATGTGTTTAGAATCTCCACTTCCTTATACGGAAGGCGCTATTGTCCAACTAGGTCCTTCTGACAAATACTATAGCAACCATATGTGGTGGGATAGAGTCTCAGTCACCGAGTTCTGTCATTCACTCAGGTGGATGAACGTCTAGCCGCAGCTAGCGTCCAAGCCAAGTTCTTCAATGTATCGTTAATTTGCGCCCACGCGGCGATGGAAGAGTTGGATGAACTGACTAAAGGTGCTTGCCTTTTATGAGCGAACATACTGTCGTGAACGTTGAACCACAACGATGTCAAAGTTGTGCTTTGCAACTTACACGCCAGGGTGTCCAATGAAAGTATATTCCGGAAACAGACGGGTGCTACATGGCGGCCTCTGATTGACTATATTGTGATAGACAGAGGGCATGTTTCTAGTGCTCTAGTTGAGCGTATACTCAGACTCTGACAAGTTGTCATAGATACGCAACCGCATAATCATCAGCAACTTAATAAAAGGGAACTATGGAATGGTATTTCACGCTCCCAATGTACAGCTCTAAATGAAACTATAGACTTTCCCTAAAACCAAAAAAAAAAAAAATAAAAAAATAGCTGAGGTTAGGGGTGGAGTAGAAAAAAAAACTCACTGCTTACCAACGATCGACCACAACGCGCAGTGTGTGGGAAGGGTGCCGAGTGTTGAAGAACCAAGCTAGATGCATCTGCTGACAGAAAATGAGAGTGTCCGAAAGGCGTGAGTGTAAAGAGCTTAAGAAGCTCGTCCACAGGGATTATGCTCAAAAATTCTATGAAAAATTCGGCGACTTACAGAAGGTTTCAAGACAGGAGTATATGCATGTTAGGCCAAAATGATGCCCCAACGATTGATGACCAGTGTTTATGGAGGGAACAATTATCCACTACGCTGAATGGCAGCAAAAATGAAACACCTGGCGATGGCTCGCCTAAGCTCCTGATTCGATGATCATAGAACAGATATTTCATTACCCAATCATGAAGAAGTCCGAATATCAATCGCTCAGCTGCGGATGCGTTGCCGCTCGAGCTGTGTGAAAGACTAAAGACCACCGTGAAAAGAGGATCGACACACACCACATCTCCATAGATTTCAAAGCAGCTTTCGGTAGCAAGCTGCTTTTAGGGCACGATCTATGCTTATATACAAATCATACAACTTTTTTTTTAATCTGTTGGTGATCGGTTTCTCGTAAAGAAAATATTCATATTTATATTTCGAGTGAATCGAACATGGTTCCAGGTCTTTGGCTCAGTTCCAGCACACAAAAGTGTTTCATTTAGGAATACCACCCAAAAACTTAACTGAAACGAACCAAGCATACTTTCACTTCCCGTAAAGTAAAATTTCAAGCAAAAGGAATTTTTGCACAAAGATATCACTATCTAAACAAAAAGCCACCTATGAACCGAATTTTAAGTAAATGGGGCCGGGAATCATGGAAATATACTGATATAATTGCAAGATCGGCCGACAACTTTTGAAGATTACCAGAGCTTTACAAATGAACATAAGATTTTTATTAATATAGAGTGCGCTCGTTTATTTTAACTTTAACATACGTACATACATATATGTACTCGTTTGTATATTGAATCCACAGACAATTAAAATTACGTTGATTACAGTAAAATATGTATTTACTTTAAAAGATATACGTTAATCAAGTAAATATATATTGTTTTATTAGCGAGGATTATTTGCGTCGATTCGTAATCTGACCATGACCTTAAATATGAAATTAAATTCAAAAAAAATATGTGTTCTTTATCTTTGTACAGTGGTTGTATTTACATACATTATTGCATACATAATTAAATATTTTGTCAATACCGAAAGCAGTTTATTTATTTCTGACTCACGTGAACCATCAATCATCGTTTGAGATTCTAGTCAAGGTTGCGGCAGCGGCAGCCGAGTGGTTAGCATTACGTACTGCCATTGGGAAGACTCAGGTTTAAATCCTGGTGTCACACTAACATACAAAATGTTCCAGAGAATGTCAACCCGTCCGAGTGTATTACTGAGATGAAATAAAGCTCCTCATAAAAAATACCATCAGCTGTTCGCAGACGGCTTAGTATAAACTGTAGGTCCCTCCATTTCTTGGAAAAATATCAAGACGAAAAACCACAAATTGGAGGAGGAGCTCGGCCGAAAATCGTTTTAGCGGTTGTTTCTTAAAAAGAAGGAAAAGTATATCCTTTAAATTTTATCAAAATTGACCTGA